GTAAAAGTTATGTATGGCAATAGCTATTCCATAGAAGCATGTTACCATATTGAACTTGTGTGTTTTTGTCCTCATCTAGAGGTGGGCAAACCTAGCCCATCTTAAGGGGGTGACACAGATACTTGTACAAGCTGGTATGAGTTGAGGGCCCTCTCTCTCTTGCATACATTACTTGAAATAGTTATTGATGTAACTGATTATAATATTGTGGGATACTGCATTAGGACCCTTTGGTCTGCCTTGAAAGTGCAGTAAAACATTAGTCTTTATATTGAACATTTTTAGGAAATCCTTTCCTCTATCCCAGCAGCCAGATAAAAGTTCAAATGAACATATAAGACTACTAGTAAGTGAAATACATTAGACCATCAGTATCGTACATAGGGATGCGGTTTCTGTGGGTTTGAACCCTGCCCTTTTAGATGTGAAGTGTCCTCAATATGCATAACCTATATTTTTAATTTTTTTGGCTTTTCTAAAAGCTGACAATATAATCATTATTAAAAACAACACCATTATAGATATTTCATTACATCATTTTCCCTTTGAAAGGAAATCCTACACCTGAAGTAGAGTCAAATTGACTCTATAGAGGTACTGTGAGTAAACTGTCCCCATTTATGAATTCCAAAAGGTGTCAGAAAAACCATTCACATTTGCATGTTTTTTAGTTGGTGTGAAACTGGAAACTATTACAATGTTGAATGAACTTGTGAACCATGAATTTTGAATAATGATTTAGTTTACAGTTTTGTGCACTAATTATAAAATTATTTGTTTTTGTATAATCCCTTGTATATATTTGATATATGTAGTTCTTTTGAAGCTTGAATTTGTATATAGACACCATTTTGAAATGCTGATTATTATGTTAATATGTGTGTGTGTATGTGTAATTTGTATACAAAAAATATCAAAATACCAATGTACATTGTTTCAAAATAATCCTTATGCACACATCAAATTGCCCTAATACATAAGAATATTGCTACTTCAAAGATTTATCAGCATCTTATACCTAAAATCACCAAGCACAAGTCTGAGAAAATTAAGGCATTTAATAGGATAATAAGTGGAAATTTTAAACAAGTATGTTATGAAAAGCTATATTTTCAACGTTGACTATTGATGAAACCAGCAGATTTTCTCTGAAACATTCCTGCATCCATTTCAGATTGTTAAATCACAAATATGCATTTTAAAATTACAAATATATTATTGTTCCTATATGTGTGCCCTTTTACAGGCTGAACCCTGCCCTTAAAAAAAAACTTGAAAACCAAGAAATGTATTATTTGTTCACTCGTGTTTCCTTA